TTGTTGGCTGCAAAATGGAGAGAAATAGATGTTTGGGGCCATTTGTTTGTCCCTGTATGCATTTATTAAAATACTTAGCCCCTCCCCTGCTCACTTCACTTGACAATCCCGTAGCTCGCTGCATTCTCAATATTGTTTTAGAGGGGATCTGCCCCTACACGTTCCACAGGCTCACCCCGAAAGTGATGCTTGGATCTCTTTTTCTCCTGTTAAGTATTTTCAGCACAGATCCTTCCTCTAGAGTATTATTCTAATGAGTATCATCCTCAAGGCCCCCACCTGGTGGAACGAGCTCCCGGAGGAGAGCAGGGCCCTGCGGGACCTTATGCAGTTCCACAGGGCCTGCAAGACTGAGCTCTTCCGCCTGGCTTTTATATAGGGGCCGCCACCTCTACTACCACCACCACTGAAACAACGGGGTTGGGGGTGGTCCCCAGAAGAACTGCCACACTTTTGCATGGCACTGATGCTGCTGGACTGGCTTTGGACCATCAATAGGATAATTCCACCCTAATGAAATGATCGATACCATCTCAGAGACCATCTTGTTTATATGGAGCACTTTATTTGTTTTTGCTGTGATTTAATAGCTTTTACTGTGGTTAAGACACTGAACCGCAGGCTGTGGAAGGTCAGTAATTCAGTAGTTCGGGACCGGGGTGCCGCAGGATGGAGTGAGCTCCCGTCTCTAGTTCCAGCTCCTGCCAACCTAGCCGTTCGAAAGCAAGAAATTGCAAGTAGATAAATAGGGACCACTTTGGTGGGAAGGTAACAGCGTTCTGTGCGCCTCGGTGTTTAGTCATGCCGGCCACATGACCACGGAAACGTCGTCAGACAGCGCTGGCTCTTCAGCTTTGAAATGGAGACGAGCACCGCAACCCTAGAGTCGGACTCAACTGGCTTTGAGCAAGGGAACCCTTTACCTTTTACCTTTATTGTTTCATACTGTTTTTATGTATGGGCCTGTCCCCCTGTGTAAGCCGCCCTGAGCCCGTTCGCGGGGAGGGCGGGGTAAAAATGCAAAAAATAAATATAAATAAATAAAATAAGGAGACCTCTTAATTGGCAAAGCGTTTGATCTTTTGTTCAAACAAAAGTTTGAACATTTTGCCCCTCCTGTTTGTGCCGTATCAACCTTCCTGGCTTCTCGTGAGTAAACCTTTGCTTCCATTTCAAATAGTGGAGGGGTATTCTGGGGTGGCTCAAGTGGTTAAGATGCTGAACTGCAGGCTGTGAAGGTCGGTAGTTCAGCAGTTCGAGACCCGAGTGTGCCGCATGACGGAGTGAGCTCTCATCTCTAGTTCCAGCTCCTGCCAACCTAGCAGTTCGAAAGCAAGAAATTGCAAGTAGATAAATAGGGACCACTTCGGTGGGAAGGTAACAGCGTTCCATGCGCCTTGGTGCTTAGTCACGCCGGCCACATGACCACGGAAACGTCTTCGGACAGCGCTGGCTCTTCGGCTTGGAAACTGAGATGAGCACCGCAACCCTAGAGTCGGACTCGACTGGCTTTAGAGCAAGGGAACCTTTACCTTTACCTTTTTATTCTGGGGCTAATCCAGGCCAGAATGGTCAGATTCCTTTCGTTTTTGACCCTGTAACGGCCATGATTCTCTTGAAGCTCGTGGCCAGTTTTGAAACTATTAGCTTTATATTCTTAAGAACACGAGAGAAGCCATGCTGGATCAGGCCAATGGCCCATCCAGTCCAACACTCTGTGTCACACCGTGGCCAAAATCCAGGTGCCACCTCCAGAAGATATAGACAGTGCCTTTATTTGGAAAAAGAGGTGCCGGACCTCTGAAGAGCGAAGTGAAATTTTCAAGCTGTATCCTGAAAACTCATGAACTTTTAAACATTTAGAAACGAATTTTGTCAAAATGGTTCTGGAACTCTGTTCCAGCACATTCTCCCAGAAAACAAGCCCCAGAGACAGAATTCAATGAGATCTGGGAAAGTGGGCAGATGTGAACAAGATGCAATTTAACAAGGATAAGTGCCGAATTCTACACTGGGGTAACAAAAATGAGGAACATGCATACTGAATGGGGGATACACTTATGGGAAGCCATGTGTTTGAACTAGATCTTGGGGTACAGGTGGACGGTAAGTTAAATATGAGCAGCCAGTGTATTTGTTGGGTTATTGTTATTAATTTCTTAAAGTAATCAGCAGAGTAATCAGCATTCAGCAGAGTATTAAAGAGTCAGAGTCCATGGTGTGTTTAAAATATAAACGTTTACTACAACCTAGCATGGGAAAAAGTATACGGGATGAAAAATAACAAAGAGCTATATTTCTACATCCTCACAGCTAGACAGAACATGGCAGAGGTCTAATGGAGACTGAACTTCTTCTTGCTCAGGACAAAGAGCCATAAAATGCTAAATACTAGCCACTCTATTCTCCAATCAGAACAACAAACTAGATCTGAAGTTGCCGGGCTTTCTAGCTCTCTAAACAGATTGGTCACAAACAAACATGTGATTTAGTAAATGGTATTAACCCAGTAAATACTGAAATAAAAGTGTTTTAACTTGTAACACCCAACAGTATTGCAGCAACAAAAAAGGCTAATGCGATCTTGGGGGTGTATCAACGGAGGCATAACATCCAAATCGCAAGATGTCCTAGTCCTGCTGTACACTGCATTGGTCAGGCCATACCTGGAGTATTGTTTGCAGTTCTGGAGGCTTCACTTTAAAATAGATGTGGACAGAGTGGAGCAGGTGCAGAGGAGAGACCCGAGGATGGTCGTGGGCCTGGAGACCAAGGGCCCTGTGAGGAACTGCTGAGGGACTTGGGAATGTTCAGTTGGGAGAAGAGGACATGGAGGGGGGGGAGAGACACATAATGGCTTTCTTTGAGTATCTGAAGGACTGTCACTTAGAGGAGGGCAGGAGGCTGTTCCTGTTGATGGCAGAGAGAAGGACTCACAATAATGGGTTTAAATTGAGGGTGGGAAGGTACCAGTTGGATATTAGGGAAAACGTTTTTCACAGTGAGAGTTGTGCCACAGTGGAATCAGCTGCCCAGGGAGATGGTGGGCTCCCCCTCTGTCCTGTCCTGACCTAGCCATGTGCTCAATCCAGTTTCGGATGGTTCCACATGCGGTCAGGTGAGGTACCAGAGCTTCGCTCCCAAACACAATAGACATTGGGATCCTAGTTCCCAGCCAATCGGGAACCTAGGCTCCCCAGGAATAATCTGATCCGTGTAAATGGACCATTCACGGGTGTGTGGTGTGTGTGTGGGGGGGGTGTTTTCCTTGGGGCATATAAGCCGGCCTGCGAACCAGCTACTACTTTGTCTTGTTCTTCTCCGAATAAGGTATGAGAGCTGAATTCACTAAGTAAGTCTCAGTATTTTTCACCCTCCCTGGCTGTGGCTGGACAAACACTTGTCAGGGATGCTCTGGGCTGATCCTGCATTGAGCAGGGGTTTGGACTAGAATGGCCTGTATGGCCCCTTCCCGCTCTATGGTTCTATGATCAGGAGGTCCACCAGCGGGGCCAGAACTCCAGAAGCCCTCCACTGTTGCTCCCCCAGCACCAAGAATACGAAGCATCACTGCCTCAGACAGAGTGTTCCCTCTATGTTGTTGTTCAGTCGCACAGTCGAGTCCGACTCTTCGCGACCCCATGGACCAGATCCCGCCAGGCCCTCCTGTCTTCCGCCGTCCTCTGAAGTTTGCTCAACTTCATGTTCGTTGCATCTATGACACTGTCTAACCATCTCATCCTTTGCCGTCCCAGTCTTCTTTGACTTTCCATCTTTCCCAGCATCAGGGTCTTCTCCAGTGAGTGCTCCCTTCTCATTGGGTGGCCAAAGTATTTGAGCTTCAGTTTCATTATCTGGCCTTCCAGGGAACAGTCAGGGTTGATTTCTTTTAGGATTGACTGATTTGATCTCCTTGCAGTCCAAGGGACTCTCAAGAGTCTTCTCCAGCACCACAGTTCAAAAGAATCTATTCTTCGGCGCTCGGCCTTCCTTATAGTCCAACTCTCGCAGCCATACATGACCTCTATACCTTGTGGCTAATAGCCTGTGGAAGCTTTCCATGCGTGTAGCTGCCAGCACTTCCTGCGGCAGTGAATTCCCCTCATGTTAAGTGCTCTTTGGGTGAATGTTCTGAGGAGTTACGCCTGGCACAGACAGAAACCCTTGGTTTCCACTGAAAATAGCATGGCGGGCGGTCTGGATCTGATACAGGAAAGCTGCCCAGACAGCTGCGGCTTCTTTTTAAGAGCACACCTAAGTCTGAGTCCACGGGGTCGCGAAGAGTCGGACTCGACTGTGTGACTGAACAACAACAACAAAAAGTCTGAGTCGTCCAGAACATTATTCTATAAACAAAATATCCAACCAGATATTTCTATTTGTGTAGTATGGGATGCCATTTAAGGCATACCCAAGAGGTTGGATAATGAAAGAAGATGCATATATTAGAAAGCAAAGGAAACAGAAATTTACAAAGTGTTAAGTAGGAGACTCAACACAGCTCGTGAACAGTGACTCAGCTTTATTAAGGAAGTCAGAAGAAATCAGGAAGCAAACACACAGAGACACCCTCCACTGAGAGAATTGCCCATTGTTTTCTATTAATCAGCCAGTTTTGGGTCCACGAGAGGACTTGTCCTTTTATCCCCTGACTATTGAGCTTACTTAGGAGCAACTGGCCGAGGGAAAAGAGGAGGGGAGAGCCTGGGATGGAGCTCTTAACCCCCCCCCCCCAGCCGCCTTTGTCCTCCGCCTTCTCTTTGTTCAGTGGGCAAGAACCCATCTCCCTAAAGAGGAGCGGCGGCTGATCCTTCTACCCGGAGACTGATGACGCTTCTGTAGACAGAATTCTCATTGGTGGTTCTTGGGGCCTAGGCCGGCCCACTCCCCAGAACTGAAGAGGCAAAAGTCTCCCCCCCCCCAAAAGCAGTGGACAAAGTTTCCTCCGGACCGGGGACTGGACGGGGGTCTTCCGTGGGGCAGGCATGGGGTCTGGCCTGATCCTGCCAGGGACTCTGGTGCTGATGGTGCTTCTGCATCCCTTCATGGGCTACGGAAGGGGGGGACGGATCGAGCCCCCCGGTAAGCAGCAGAGCCCCTGGGGAGGGACGGATGAAAGACTGCGGGGGGGGGGTAGACGCTTGTAGACGCACTCCCATTATTATTATATATTATTATTATTTTGATTTACTTTATTTATAGTCTGCGTTTCTCCCCCGGGGGGGGGGGTGTCGCAACCCAGCTTGAAGCCTTCTCCTCTCCTCTATTTCATCTTCACAACAGCCCTGTGAGGTTGGCTGGGGCCAAGGACAACCGAAAGCGGCTGGCAGTCTTTGCCCCCCCCCCCCCCCCGCAG